AATGGTGGTCAAATTAGCGTTTCCTCTGTTTTGGAGCTTCAGTGCTGCTCTAGGAGCCCCTCAGAGAGCACAACCTAAACAGCAGCGCTATCAGAGCCAGTTTAAGGGGAGGCTGGTCAGTTACTATTTCTCCCATTACACCAAAAAATTTCTGCAAAATACAAGAGGAGCACAAGCAAGACCTCAGTGAAACGGGGTGAATAGAGCTAAACGGCTGAAAACAAAAACAGTAAACGAGTCTTGTTGTTTTTGCTGGAACTTCCTTTAATAAATGGATAATAGAAGGACGCCTTTATTAAAACACCAAAAAATTTACCAGCAATTTTTCACAACAAACAGCTTTGATTAGCATCACTGCTACTGAGTGCTGATTGGTCGGCATTACTGCTACTGAGTGCTGATTGGTCAGCATTACTGCTACTGAACACTGATTGGTTAGCATTACTGCTACTGAGCGCTGACTGGTCAGCATTACTGCTACTGAGTGCTGATTGGTCAGCATTACTGCTACTGAGCACTGATTGGTCGGCATTACTGCTACTGAGCACTGATTGGTCGGCATTACTGCTACTGAGCGCTGATTGGTCGGCATTACTGCTACTGAGCGCTGATTGGTCGGCATTACTGCTACTGAGCGCTGATTGGTTAGCATTACTGCCACTGAGCACTGACTGGTCAGCATTACTGCTACTGAGCGCTGATTGGTCAGCATTACTGCTACTGAGCGCTGATTGGTCGGCATTACTGCCGATGATTGAAAATTGTAGAAAATCTGAAATAATAATTTTCTTTGGGGGGATTATTTTGCCTCACAACACCCTGCATATTATGTATCCCTCCAACATGAATGGAGTTTAAAGCCAAAATCTTCTCAAAACTATCATAAAACAGTGTCTCAGTCATCAGGCAGTGAATTCATAACCATTTCATGTAGTAACTTTCTGTGAGGGAGCTTTTAGAGGTGGACGTCTGGTTCCTATCACCACCACTGTGAACAGTTCTGACTCTGTAAGTTTCTCTAAAACGGAGCGTTTCACACCAAACCGCTCTGAATGGCTCTGTTTACATCTCAACCACTTAATTATGCAGAACATTTTAAAAAGGGTTGGATTCTCCTTAAAGGCTGTTGGAAAATGTGTGTGCAGAGAGAATAGATATATTGTGGGCAGGAGACGCTGAGGGTGGATATGTTTTGGGTTATAAAGGCAGCCGTGTTGCCGGTGGCTACAGCACTGAGAGAAAATATTACATATTTATGTTATCGCTGCACTGTTGTTCACTTACTCAACCGAGACAACACATACACAAACAAACAAACAAACAAACAATATACACAAACCAGATGTCCAAGATATCCATGGTTACTCAAAGCAGAGAAAAGACTGCTTACCAGGACTGAAAGACTGAGAAAGGCTCCAATGTTTGGATCATAGAGGTGCAAATTAATACAGGACAATACTAATAAAAGTTCACTTGCAGCAGATTCAATATCTTAAAGGATCAATATTCTACTTTTGTTTTTTCTCATTAGGTTCACTTATAACATCTGTGTCATTTTATGTACCGATTTTTTTACATGATCATTTTCCAACCTCTCTTTATCCCCTTATCCCTGTTTCTGTTACTGTACCTTTTAGACTGATATATGTAAAAAAGCTCTGTTCTGATTGGCTGTCCTGTATTGTGCCTCATTTAAAAAGCAGTCCAGGCTGAAACATTCCTTATAACTTCAGTGTGAGTGGGCGGGGCTAAACTGCTGGAGGCTGAATAAGTAAATATATGTAAATATGTTAGTTTTTGTGACATCAAATTAAATAAAAGCTGTTTTTGTAGCTGTTTCCATATACGGGCAGTGTGGACGCAGATGTGAACTGTGTGCTTTGAAACGTTAGTATTAATTTAAGTTACACTGTAAGAAAAAAATTACAACCCTGTTTCCAAAAAGTTGGGACGCTGTGAAAAACGTAAATAAAAACAAAATGATGTGCAAATCAATTAAACCCTATATTTAATTGAACATAGTACAAAGACAACATGTCAAATATTGAAACTGAGAAATTTTAAGGTTTTTGAAAAATATATGCCCATTTTGAACTTGATGCCAGATTTGGAAAAAAAATCTTCCATTCAAAACTAAAATGTTTGTTCTTCTCCTGTACAGTTACCATTTTGGAGATTTTTTACTAATTTAATTATTATCTAACCAGTAAATGCTGTTCATTCACGGGTGTAGCCAAGGGGTGGCCAGAAGTGGCCACTGCCAGCCTCCTGTGAAGCGTGGCCTCAGACCGAGGCTGTGGTCTTCTCTGTGGTGCTTTATGGATGTGAACGCTGGACAATAAACAAGCGAGACAGGAAAAATATAGATGCCTTTGAACTTTGGTGCTGGACTTTTAAGAGAACCTTTAATGACAAAGAAAACCAACAAATGCATCCCTGACCAAATCAAGCCTCTCCTCTCACTCAAAGCTCGGATAACCAACTTGAATTTTGGACACATTCTGAGAGGAACCAGGTCAATGGACCGTAATGCCTGGAAGAGTTGAAGGTAAAAGAGGACGAGCTGCTACAGGATGGATGGAGACAGTCAGAGGAGTCATGAACCAGACATTCAAAGGCCTGAAGACCCAAACAGAAGACTAACAGAATAATAATAACAGTAAACAAAACTGTCATCAGTGAAGCATCATCACAGAAAAGTTCTGCTACTTTACGGTGAAAATCTGCCCTCAGGTCAGTTACCAATCAGTTGTCATCTGATGCTGCAGAGGATCTTACAGGAGGGTGAATTCACTCAAAACCGTAACGTTACTCTTGCTTGTTTAGCTTAAGAAATCAGCAAACAAACATTGGATCTCTACATCAAGAAAATGTGTAACCCCTAAAATCCACACTTATTACATACTGAGGCTTATTAATCAGTAACTACAGGGACTTCAGTGCAAACTGGCTGAGTTGTTCTTAGATTATAGATGTGTAATAAAACTTTGAGCCTGCTGGTGGATCCTGGACACTGAAGGGATTAAAAGCACCTTAATAATTCTCTACATCAGTCTACTACAGTAATAATAATGATCATCATCAATAATAATCAATAAACATCAGTGAGCTGAAGAATAAAAAGTGCTGAGAAAAGAGGTTTTAAGCTGAGCTTTGATGGAGGAAAGTGAGGGACATTCATGAAGAGGTTGTGGATTGTGTTCCATAGTTTGGGGACCATGACGCTGAAAGATCTGACCCCACCAGTAGCCAATCTACATTTTGGGACAGTATTTTTGGGTGCATGTTGTGCTGTATGTGGATCACTGTAAGATTACCGTGACTAAAGATTTAACAATGTTACAACATGGGAAAAAAACATAATATTTGTCACAAAATTGAGTAAATATCATTTACTAAAATTAGTAGATAACATTTACTACATACAGTAACATCTAATGTTTATCATGAGCCAAAGGCTTCTTACAGCTGAGCACAGGTTTAGTGATGCAGGCCAGATTTCATCAGAGGTGAATCCAGTGCTGAGTGTAAGTTCCTGCTAATGCAGTAAAAAGATGGTTCTTCAAGGGTTCTTTAGTAAAGACAATGGTTCTACATAGAACCATGAACACTCAAAGAACCATTTACATGATTAAATGGTTCTCTACACGGTGAAATCGTTCTTCAGATTGATGGAGAATGTGTTGTATATGGTTCTATATAGCACCAAAAAGTGTCCTCCTATTGTTACAAGCTTGGCATTGTAAGAATAGAAGAACCCTTTTTGTAAAGGACCAAATATATAGAACCAAACAGGGTTCTTCTATTCTTACAATGTCAAGTTTTTAACAACAGAATAACGCTTTTTGGGGCTTTACAGAACCATATACAACACATTCTCCATCAATCTGAAGAACTACTTCTCCACACAGAGAACCATTTGAGCATGCAAAGGGTTCTTTGAGTGTTCTTTGCTTAAACACCCTTGAAGAACCATCTTTAAGTGTGTAGGTCAGTGTGCTACCCTGCCAAGTATAACTCTCACACCTTGTCCCTACACAAATAATAAAGACTGTTCTTTAAAGGTTCTTTAGTAAAGGCAATGGTTCTATTTGTAACAATGAGTTCAGTGTCAAACTATGTCATGCTTAAATGGTTCTTTGCGTGTTGAAATTGTTCTTCAAAGTGATGGAGAATGTGTTGTATGTGGTTCTATATAGAACCTTTTTGAAAATCGCCCCAAAAAACGTTCTGCTATTGTTCTGAAAAACCAGTTGAGTTGAGTAACTCAAATCCTTTGAGAAGCTTTTTTGGGTAGAACACACTTCATTCTGTAGGACTGATGCAGATTAACCGATCTTACCTAGATCTACCTCAGTAACGTTCTGGTGCTTTATAGAACCATTTTCAAAAAGGTTCCATATAGAACCATCTACAACACACTCTCCATCAATCTGAAGAAACAGTTCACCATGCAAATGTTGAGTGTTAATGTTTCTATATTGAACCATTGTCTTTACTAAAGAACCCTTGAAGAACCATCTTTTTTAAGATTGTAGCGTTATTATGGGTATCGTGATTCAAGTATCAGTATCAGAAGGGAAGAAACAGTACCAGTACATCCCTACACATCCCAAAGATGGTTCTTCAAGGGTTCTTTAGTAAAGACAATGGTTCTATATGGAACTTTTGCAGGCTTTAAGGGTTCTTCTATTGTATACAAGCTTCACATTATCACAATAGCAGAACCCTTTTAGGTGCTATATGGAACAATTCACAACATTCTCCATTAATTTGAGGAACCACCTCACCATGCAAAGAACCCTTTAATCATAAAAAGGTTCTAGATAGAACTCATGGACCATTGGCATTAATAAAGAACCTTTGAGGAACCGTGTGTGTTTTTTTAGAGTGTAGAGTTAGAGATAAGAGTTTAGAGTGTAGAGATAAATATCGTGACTCAGGTATCGGTATCGGACGATAAGACGCGGTATCGGTGCATCGCCACTTCACCAACTCACCGATGGTGGACACGACCGTCCCGACAAAGTAGAAGGCTCCCGTAAAGTCCCATCTCGGCCTGAGGGAGTCTGCGCGGATCCCCGCGGCCACGGCGGTCTCGTACTCCCGCAGGAACGAGCTGAGCTCCTGCAGGCTCACGTTGAAGGCTTCGCTGAAGTTGTGCAGGGTCCGGTTCCAGCGCCCGCGCGCGCGCAGCTCGGAGGGCCTCTCGATGGCCGAGAAGATCGCCGCGCCGCACAGCAGGTACACCAGGATGAGGATGGCCAGCAGCACGAAGCGCCCGTTGTCCTCGTTGACGTGCAGCGAGCGGCAGCCTGGCAGCCTCTGAGCAGGCATCATCCGGACTTCAGCACCACGGACAGCGACAAGGACATCGCGCTTCGTGCGCCTCTCCGCCGCTCCTTTGTTGTTCTCTCTGTCAGTAGAACCTCAGAAGAACACTTGTAGGAGAAAAACCATCCTTAAAGCGGACCCCACGGCGCGTCCTGCTCTGGTGCACCCATTACGCACAGCCTTGGCCAATCCGCAGCGGCGCTTTTCACTCAAACACCAGCTCCTAGTGGACAAGCTCTCCGCTTTTAGTCTTTCCGAGCTCGCAGCAGCACTGTGCACTGATCTGGACATTCCCTCTGAAGGAGAGGAGCCCGCCTGGGTCTCTGCACCAAACTGTCCGTCCACTCACCGACATCCCAGGGTTGAGTGAACGCAAGGAAAGAAGCACGTGTCAGACTTTTTAATCTCGTCTGCGACTCGTGCATCGTCCAAAAAGCGCATACTAGCACACTAGATAGTGCGCCAACAGCACTGCACCACCAGAAGTGCGCTCAGTGCGTACAGGACAGCAGCGTCCTGCTGTGTCTGTGCGTGAAGGACATGGAGAAGTCAGCACGGTCAGACTGCTGCTCTTTCTCGATGCTAAGCTGCGTTTTGATTATGATATGCAGTTCTTTCCTCCTCTGCGCCGCGCTGACATTCACTGCTGCTCTAATAATCCACTCAGCTTTAATCCAATACAAAGTTATCGGCGCTCACAGGCAGCGGTGGCGCTGCTGATGGAGCAGAAACTCTCTCCCCAGGACGGAAAACTTCCCCGAAGCTCCTCCATGACGCCAAACTTCTCAGAAGCTCTGCTCAGGGTGAGGAGCGCCGGAGAAACTGTGCTCAGAGCTGCTTTATCCGAACAGCACGAGTGAGCGCTTGTTTTCTCCACCCGTTTTCCGGCAAGCCCCGCCCTCCTGCGCCAGGATTGGCTCGTAGCTCGTAGTAGGCAGCCTACTGGGTTAAAGACTGAATGCTCGTGCGAGTATTCTGGTGGCCAATCCTAGCGCAGGAGGGCGGGGTTTGGAGCAGGGGGTTGGGAAAAAACTAATAAAAAACATTCGAGTAGTAAGTGGGCGGGGCTTCCGTTAAAAATGCGCCAAAAGGCATCAGCGACCTTTTAAATCACCAGCAGGTCTAATAAGCCAACAGCAAATTAAGCCTTAAAGATCAAATAGCAGTTAGGCTTAAAAAGAGGGTTCTTCAAGGGTTCTTTAGTGAAGGCAGAGGTTCTGTTTAGAAACATGAGTTCTATATAGGATCATTTCTTGCTTAAATGGTTCTTGAAATGGTGAAATTGTTCTTCAGATTGATGGAGAGTCTATCGAACGAGGTTATGTATAAAAGCTTTTTCAAAATGGTTCTATTTAGCACCAAAAAGGGTTCTTCAATTGTTACAATGTCAAGAATGTATACTATACACATTTAAAAATGATGGTTCTTCAAGGGTTTCCTTAGTAAAGAAAATAAAGGTGTTTTTCATATTGATGGAGAATGTGCTGTAGAGGGTTCTATATAGAACCTTTTTGGAAAGGGTTCTGAATGGCACCAAAAAGGGTTTTTCTTTTGTGTTACATTTGAAATCGTAACAATGTAACATATTCCCCATCAATCTGAAGAACACTTGCATGATGCAAAGAACCCTTTCTTCATGCACAAGGTCCTTTGAGTGCTCATGGTTCTATATAGAACCACTGTTTTGCTAAAGAACCCTTGAATAAGCATTTTTTAAGAGTGTAGCAGAATCATTTTTCATCAGTTTGCTCTGGTTGATGTTACTTAACAAGAGCATGTGAGTCAGTGAAACTTGTGTTGTTTCAGTGAAATTCAGGTTTCAGATTTATCAGATTTACTTTATAAGTGTTTGTAATCTTGTATAGGGAAACTCAACATCTCTCTCATTGGCTCCTGGCATCCCCTATTTGCATATCGTTTACTTGTTACTTGTTTGCTGTCCCTCCTTGTGTTGTCTGACCATCATTCCATTGTGTCTGTATCTTATACTTCACAGATAACAGCCGAGCCACACGTTGTTGGCTGTACGTGCAATTTATCATGAAACGTACTGCTGAGTGTGATTCTGGAACAGCTCAGTAACACAGTAACAACTTAATGAAAATATGTAGATTAACCTTATTAACTTTATTTTGATGTACTTTAATTAGTAAAACATAACCATATTAAGTTAAGTACATATTACTCGATTGAGAATTTAATTTTTAGGTAATACATAAACATAATCGGTTAAACCTCTGGGGTCCACAAACTCACCTGCACATCAAATTCTCTGTGTCTATATCTGTTTGTTTGTCTTTGTGATGATCCAGCTCAGAAATCCAGTTCAAACACTTCCTGAATCTGTAGAGTCGCCCCTTCCATTCCATCTTATCACGAGATCATACGAGACTCACATCCGGAGTTATGAGCCTATGAAGAGGGGCTGAGATACACGTCATCTGCCTCTCACCGTGTGGAACCGGTGGATTCGTGTGTCTGTCTACATTCTGTGTGAAACTGACCAATGGACGCTCAGGAAATCACTAAGGACTGACCATCACGCCGGAAACCCTTCATTCTTCATTCAGTCCACATCGGAGACTCATGTGAAACGGCGTACAGAGAGTTTACAGCTGCTGAAGCTGCTGCAGCGGTTTTGGAAAGTAGTGATGAAGATAACGGAGCATTTAGATATGAAACATATGAGGACCATGATATATGAAGAGACTTTAAAGGAGAGTTTAAGAAGAGATGGACTAATCGAGAGAATGACCTCAGACCATAGAGGGATATTTAGAATTTAGATTCATTTGATTTGGTTAAGTACATTTTACTCAGTCAAGTATCTTAGGAAGTACTTGACACAGTTTTGTGGAACCACTTGATCCAATATTAAAGCAAATCCAACATTTCACAAGTGTGAAAAACTGTATCTAAAACATTTGAAACCTTCAGATAAACAAGAGATTATTTTGATATTTTTTAATTTAGTGCTAATTCTGCTGGGCGTGTTTCTGTTGTTTGACTCAGCACAGCTCAGCGAACTCCTCCCGGATGGATGCTCATTTGTCTCCCGCTGCTTATTGCTGGGAATCTGAGGCACCTCATCAAGTGGATGAACGATAATAACTGGTTCAATTACATAATTAAGATCTTGGATGCAGCACGACACACATGCTGCTTTTTGGGAGTGATGAGTCTGATTTGCTGGCTGGATCAGCGCTGTGAGTTCTCCTGGTGTTCTCTCTGTATTTCTTGAAATGGAGCATCGGTGCATCATGGAGGATGATGGAGGGAGGAGAAGACGAGGGCTGAAAAGGGGGATGGCATCACTTCAAGCAGCAGCGTTTTAAAGCAGTCTGTGTGCGTTGCTTTGGGTCTGACCTTTCTGCGCTCATCCAATTTGCACTGCGCCCAGATAACAAATTGGGTAAGCGACACCAAAGGCCTCCCTGATTCCAATCCAGATCTTAAACGTGTTCACTGACTTTGCCTGCCTCACTGTGTGACCGTGGTTGATCTTCCTCCTCCCTCCTCCTCTTCCTGAGCACCGTGTAGGTTCTATTTTAGCAGTAATAGGCTGTGCAGGAAGTTATTTCAGAGACAAAGCTTTGGAATTATGGTAATTAGAGGTAGTGTTAATGAAGCAGTGCTTCAGATGGGCAGTGGATTTATGAAGTCGTTTGGCTTATGATGTATAGCTGTTCCTGGTCTTGAAAAAATTAATTGTCTGTGTTTTTAAGAGATCTGGGGTGAAACTGTGTGTGTTAAGTCCATTTGGCCAATGTGCACATCAGAAGCTACATAGACATGATTTTTAGAGCATGACGTAAAGTGATGAGTTTTAATGACTACATGTTCGTTTTATCAGCAGGCCTGAGGGAGCCGATAAAGGGCCATTCATAGTGATGATGCTGACAGTGATGATGATAGTGATTTTGGCAGTGATGACAGTGTTCATAATGATAATGGTAATGTCAGTGATGATGCTGACAGTGATGACAATGATGATGATGGTGATGATAGTGTTGACTATGATGATGATGATGATATTGATGATGACAGGGCTGTTAATGATGAGTCAGTGATGATGATGATGCTGAAAGTGATGATGACAGTGGTGATAATGATGACGATGATGATGATGACAGTGTTGTTAATAATGATGGTGATGCCAGTGATGATGCGGACAGTAATGATGACAGTGTAGATAATGATGATGGTGATGATGATGATGATGACAGTGTTGTTAATAATGATGTTGATGCCAGTGATGATGCGGACATTAATGATGACAGTGTAGATAATGATGATGGTGACGATGACAGTGTGGATGATGATGATGGTGATCCTGGTGATGATGTTGACAGTGATGATGACAGTAATGATACTGATGAAGGCGGAGCTGAACTGACTGCTGCATTGGCTGAAAAATCCCTTCTACAAATGCTGAATCTGCAACTGTATCCCTTGGCAACAGTTCCAGCTGGCACAGAAGAAGTGTGGATCCTGCGTCTAGAGGTGAGAGACCCACATAGAAGTGGATGAATAAAAGATGAGCAGAAGTGCAGCCCTTGTGTTGGTCACATCAAAATCCTTGTAATGAAATGCATTCATACATACTGCATTTAATCCTCCTATATGAAGGAAAGACAGTGATGCAGGTAGAATGCATCTGTTATGTACAGCAGTTCTGCTCAGTCTTCTTCCTGTATATTCACACACTGAATGTGATTTCACTGTATTTCAGATTTAAATGAGTCTCTGTAGCCACTTATACTTTTGGTTGGCAAGATAGAACAAGAAGGTCCAGCAGGAGGGCCTGGCAGAGAGAGAAGTGGCGCAAGTGGGACCTGGATGATGACAAAGAGCTCTTTCTCTCTCTCTCTCTCTCTCTCTCTCTCTCTCTCTCTCTACCTATCTGTCCATCTCTTTGCTCCCGAAGTGCGGAGTAGGCAGTGAAAGCAGGGACCATATGGTTGAATCACTTACGTGTCAAGTGTTGTACTTTATAATTACGTGAGAGAGGCAGAGCCCCCTGGAGTCAGCAAAGATGTGGAGAAGGTTGACTGAGGCAGCATAGGAGGAGGAGGAGGAGGAGGAGAGAGGGGATAAGTTTATTGATCTAGACACACTCAGAAAGAAGAGAGCAGAAAATTAGCTCCAGATACAGATATAGAACTGCGCAAGAGTCAGAGGCTCCTTTTCATTTATTCAACTTCCAGATTAATCAGCCATAAAGTACAGGTTATTCATCTTTCAGGAGGAGGAGATCAGATATAAGATTATCCACTTGCGTAAAGAAGGAGAAAGTCAAAGGAGTTTGCAAAGCAAACCTCCTAACCACTACCTGGAAGAGCTGGTCGACCCCAAAACTGCCCCCATCAGATAAACAGCACTTAAAGCTTTCATCTCTGAGAGAGAGGAGAAAATCAAGCTGATCAGATCTGAAAACATCCACAGGTGTTTCTGTCCATCCTTCCACTGTGAGAA